TCTGGTCTTAAAAGTTACTCCTGTCTTAAGATCTGGTCTTAAAAGTTCCTCCTGTCTCAAGATCTGATCTTAAAAGTTTCTTCTGTCTTAAGATCTAGTCTTAAAAGTTCCTCCTGTCTTAAGATCTGGTCTTAAAAGTTTCTCCTGTCTTAAGATCTGGTCTTAAAAGTTTCTCCTGATTTAAGATCTGGTCTTAAAAGTTTCTCCTGTCTTAAGATCTGGTCTTAAAAGTTCCTCCTGTCTTAAGATATGATCTTAAAAGTTTCTCCTGTCTTAAAATCTGGTCTTAAAAGTTCCTCCTGTCTTAAGATCTGATCTTAAAAGTTTCTCCTGTCTTAAGATTTGGTCTAAAAGTTTCTCCTGTCTTATGATTTGGTCTAAAAGTTCCTCCTGTCTTAAGATCTCACTGAAACCAACGGCGGCCAAAGTTTATTATTCCTCGATGTTATTTATTATTTTGTTTCATACTTGTGATCAGGTGAAGGTGTTCTCCTGACAACAGACACACACATAAACAGATCACTTTGACAACAAATATGGATACCTGTATGCAACTGTTTTTGATGAAACAAAAAGAATAATCAACAAGGGAGGTTGACTTGCTTGTCACACAGTCACTTATTTACTCAAAATTACTAAACAACACACATGATTTAGTTGAAGTTTTGGTAGTTAAGATTGAAAACCATAACCATTTCATTGTGGTTATATATAAACCACCAGATACAACTTCCCGACGATTTAGGAAAGTCTTCCAACTCCAGCTCCAAATATCTTACTTCTGGGTAACCTAACTTAAGACATCTAAAGTGGAAGAATGTGGCAAATAATGTTGTAGCAGAGATTACCCCAGGAGGCAGCTCTCATGAAAATTCACACACACATGAGTTATTAAATCCCAACATCAAATTCTCATTAAGCCAGCAAATAGTGGATACATGACTTGCAAATACACTTGATCTTTTTTTCACTAATAATGATCTGGTACGACCTATAACAGTATCAAAGACAATGGCCTCGCATCACAACATCGTCGAAGGACAGACGTGTATGTATCGGGCTCCTGACCAGCAAAATGAGATCAATTATGAGGGTGTCATCACCTAATTCAACTTCAATAACAGAAACATCCAGTGGGAGCAAATTAACCATGTCCTAAATGAAAAATGCTGGAATGATATGCTAAGCAGCTCTGTGGCACTTGAGGTATGTTCAAAGCACATTCTCCTAAGAAAAAAAAGGAGAAGACGTAAACTATAAAGGGACTCTCCCTGTGGAAAATTACATTTACCTGGATGTAACTTATAAGGTACATGCAAGGAAATGGTATCAAAGATAATTATTATTTATCAAAGTTGCAGAGACAAGTAGGAAATTTTAGGACACCTAGGTCACAAAAATGTTCCCCTTCGATACCTACCATCTATCTCTCCACAAGTTGCTCTAGACCTATATTAATTGCAAATGAAATGTACATACACACCAGGAATTCTGGTAAATTTAATATAAATTTGTGGACTGTATATTAAAATTAATAAATGATTACATATACACATTTATATAACAGAAGGAGAATTTATAATCATAACACTCACCAATTAGTCTGGAGATTAGTGTGTCTCATGTACAGAACCCCCCCCCCTGCCTAAATTTATGATGATAATACTGGTCAGAGCTATAACATAAATATATAGACAGCTTATCTGAGGTTCCTGGAGTTGTCCTGTCCAGTCCCCTGAATTCTCACGTTATGCAGGATTGCACATCCAACAATTTCGGCTCCTATTTGAGAGATATAAGCCCAGTGTAACCTCTAGAGCGACAAAAATTCTCCCTATATATATATATACATGTACAAGGTATACAAGTACATGTACAAGGTATACAAGTACATGTACAAGGTATACAAGTACATGTACAAGGTATACAAGTACATGTACAAGGTATACAAGTACTTGTACAAGGTATACAAGTATATGCACAAGGTATACAATTACACGTACAAGGTATACAAGTACATGTACAAGGTATGCAAGTACATGTACAAGGTATACAAGTACATGTACAAGGTATACAAGTACATGTACAAGGTATACAAGTACATGTACAAGGTATACAAGTACATGTACAAGGTATATTTTACACGTACAAGGTATACAAGTACATGTACAAGGTATACAAGTACATGTACAAGGTATACAAGTACATGTACAAGGTATACAAGTACATGTACAAGGTATACAAGTACATGTACATGGTATACAAATACATGTACAAGGTATACAAGTACATGTACAAGGTATACAAGTACATGTACAAGGTATACAAGTACATGTACAAGGTATACAAGTACTTGTACAAGGTATACAAGTATATGCAAAAGGTATACAATTACACGTACAAGGTATACAAGTACATGTACAAGGTATGCAAGTACATGTACAAGGTATACAAGTACATGTACAAGGTATACAAGTACATGTACAAGGTATACAAGTACATGTACAAGGTATACAAGTACATGTACAAGGTATACAAGTACACGTACAAGGTATACAAGTACATGTACAAGGTATACAAGTACATGTACAAGGTATACTAGTACATGTACAAGGTATACAAGTACATGTACAAGGTATACAAGTACATGTACAAGGTATACAAGTACATGTACAAGGTATACAAGTACATGTATAAGGTATACAAGTACATGTACAAGGTATGCAAGTACATGTACAAGGTATACAAGTACATGTACAAGGTATACAAGTACATGTACAAGGTATACAAGTACATGTACAAGGTATACAAGTACATGTACAAGGTATACAAGTACATGCACAAGGTATACAAGTACATGTACAAGGTATACAAGTACATGTACAAGGCATACAGTCCACAGCTGACATCAGTGTCATACTATTATATAGAAAGTCACTTGTTATGCTGAGCATTTCCCGCAAATTATGTCAGTTTTGTCCCGGGATGCGACCCACACCAGTCGACCAACACCCAGGTACCATTTTGAACTGATGGGTGAACAGGGACAGGGACAGCAGATGTCTTATGGAAACACGTCCCTAATGTTTTCCAGCCGTACCGGAGGAGATTCGAACCCCGGACCTGAGTGTGTGAGGCGAGTGCGCTAGTGATCCAGGTACAGGACACCTGTATATCCACCCTTTTTGAGTTTAGTGATTAATTTGACTATTATTTTTACTATCTTCTTGTTTATCAAGACATTAATAAGGCCATTATTTTGATGGCAAGTTATATAACATCGTAATTTTATGTAATTATTGTTTATATTCTTTGATATGGACATTAATTTTCTCACGTTTATAAGAAGGCCTGAGCTTGCTACCACCTGCAGCTCACAAGACTGCCATCCCCACGAGCCCCTTTGATATGGACATTAATTTTCTCACGTTTATAAAGTGAGACTGAAAAGATCTGTAGAAAATATTGCTCATTTAATTGAAATGCACTAAGTAAGAAACAATGTGCTTGTTCTGCACACACAAGCGTCTTTCTGTACTGTAACAGGTTCTCCAGACTTGTCCTGGACCGGGTCTTCTCCAGATGGTGACCCGGCAGAGTCTATCTACCCATCTAACCAGTTAGCCCTTAAGTTCCTTTCACTAAAAAGTTATTTTAGTTTTCTTTTAATCTCCAAGCTCAGAGTTCTCTACATAATATTCGCACCACATATTGACCTCATACACAACATCACTAAACTTTTACACAAACATGTCGTAACACAGCTCTAAATGAATTTATATATATTCTTTAGGAATCGGGATACGAAGCACGAAAGATAAAAGGAAGGACAAAGTATGAGCGCAGCACTTGTTAGTTTAGTCTGGAGCATCCACGCCACTTTTGTTGATGTTCCATAACTGAAGTCACACCTGTGGGTCACACCTGTAACTCTTGCCTAACCTAATGTGTTATAATCCTTTATATGAACAATTCCGTTACTTCCCCTATTAAAAACACAAGTGTAACACATACTTCCACCAAGGAAGTGATCCGCAACACATATAAGAACATAAGAACATAAGAACATAAGAAAGGAGGAACACTGCAGGAGGCCTGTTGGCCCATACTAGGCAGGTCCTTTACAATTCATCCCACTAACAAAACATTTGACCAACCCAATTTTCAATGCCACCCAAGAAATAAGCTCTGATGTGAAAGTCCCACTCAAATCCAACCCCTCCCACTCATGTACATACACGGATATTTAAACTAAAACAACATTTATATATTTTTAATTGATAATGAAAACTGAGAGACAGTATAAAAGGTAAACAAAAAATCTAGCGAAAGACGTCTAAATTCCATACAACGCGAACACCAGTAAAGTGCACAGAGGAAAACGTTGCTGTGAAGTCTTTCGGTTGGTCCAGCAGGAAGATACACTAGGAGGACCTAGTATGAGTGAAACACCTGGTGGACCGAAATGTTTTGTCCGTCAGCAAACAGGAAAGTATTGACTAACGGAGGTCTTTGTCAGGGATCACCCAGTAAGTGATTAAGCAACCTGTAATGATTGTCGGTGATTATCTTCTGTGAATTACTTAACTGATGAACTGAGGACTATACATGATGCTTGTCTTCATATCTGGTATAGTGATGACTTAAAATTATTATATGTGTCTCTACCTTACATCATGAAGGAGAGAACTTGGGAATGTTCCGTTCAGTAACTCAGTAGGACGAGGTTGTCAGGTATTGTTTAGTGAGTGGGAGGGTTTAATGGTGCAAACTACTCTAGGGGTTAATGGTGCAAGTTTCCCAATGGGGTAATGATATAAGTTTCCCTAATTGGTAATGGTATAAGTTTATCCCTGTGGAGTAATAGCACTAGCACTCCTAGAATGTGGAGACGCAGACTTTCCTAGGGAATGGGGTTGGGGGCTATTACAACCCAGGGACAATAAGGCCTGCTATCCTGGGTGTAAAGCGAAGCAAGGAGCAGAATAAACACAGCTGAATAACTTTGACTTTGTAATATACTTCCTTCCCCAAGAGCAATGTGGATATTTACAGATATGTAAATATCCACAGCCTGGAGACAGAATGAACAACCGTGCTCAACCAGCTCTAGTATGGAAATGACAAGGGCAGACAGGCGGGTGGTGCCCACAACACATTCTGCGATTGCCAAGACCATCTTCGCATTAGCTGAACCTGGTGTTCAGGTACAGGAAGGGATGGGGCTCCATCGTCCATCCCTAGTACTGGTTCGCTGGTTGGGGAGAGAGCCTTCCAATGAGGGTGGGTACTTGCGCTGCCGAGAAAAGGTTACGCGCTCTTTGTATGCCACAGGGGCTGAACGTTTCCCATGCTTGTGGAAACCCCGGACACAACAATAATGTTGGGGCGTGGCTTTGCAGTCAATGCTTAGCGTCGAACAGCCGGGAAGTGAAGATAGTCCAACACGATCTGAAGACAAAGACACTATATAAGTTTCCTGAATACTCATAGTTAAAAATTCTATCTAATACATTAGAATCATTTCATTACTGAAATGAGACCTATAACTACAAAAAGAACATTTTAATACCGAAAGAGGGATTAAATTATGTTTTGAATGCATTTACACCAAATAGTGGAACTCGAAGAGTAGCAATCTCCATTTCCTGAGTTCTGGGTATTTTATATGAATGTAGGCAGTTAGTTAAGTGAAATAGCTGAAAACAGCTCACAGGGTATATACTGTCTATGTCTAGACAAAATATACCTAAATGGGATCATATTTGAAAATATCTCACTCCACAATGTCTACGTGTTCCATTAGGGTCTAGTGCTCACCAGGGAATATACTAATGCTAATCATAATAATAATAATAACAATAATAATAATAATAATAATAATAATAATAATAATAATAATAATAATAATAATAATAATAATTACACTGCTGCATATATAACAAGAAATACACAGGAATTTAAAGATGGAAAATCTGCATATATGTAAAGTCAGTTGTAGAGTAGAGTGTGTACCACCGTCATATTATCTGAACTTAGTCAAACTTGCAATAAATTAATATAAACATTTAGAGTTTGAAGTTATATTGGTCCCAGAATTGACGGGGATATCATACGAGGAAATGTTAACAATGCTGACTCTGACGTCACTGAAGGAGTGACGCTTCAGAGGAGATATGATCACAATACTGAAAGTACTCATAGGTATGGACAGGAGAAAAAATAGGACATTTTGAAGAAGGGGTCATGGATAGAAGCTGGACATCCTGAAGTGCTAAATTAAAGTGAAGTTTCTAAGTGTTATGGTTTAGAAAAAGGAATCGAGTTAGGAAAGTAAAGAAGACAAACTCTAAATAATTCAGTATAATGCAGAAAATGTCAGGAGCTACAGATCGAAACAAGAAATTTATGTGAGGTAAGTAGAGCCAAGTGTTTACTCACCGCTGTCATCAGCAGTGGTAGGGTGGATGACAGTCGCCCACACCATGAAGATACACACTCACCGCTGTCATCAGCAGTGGTAGTGTGGATGACAGTCGCCCACACCATGAAGATACACACTCACCGCTGTCATCAGCAGTGGTAGGGTGGATGACAGTCGCCCACACCATGAAGATACACACTCACCGCTGTCATCAGCAGTGTAGGGTGGATGACAGTCGCCCACACCATGAAGATACACACTCACCGCTGTCATCAGCAGTGGTAGGGTGGATGACAGTCGCCCACACCATGAAGATACACACTCAACCGCTGTCATCAGCAGTGGTAGGGTGGATGACAGTCGCCCACACCATGAAGATACACACTCACCGCTGTCATCAGCAGTGGTAGGGTGGATGACAGTCGCCCACACCATGAAGATACACACTCACCGCTGTCATCAGCAGTGGTAGGGTGGATGACAGTCGCCCACACCATGAAGATACACACTCACCGCTGTCATCAGCAGTGGTAGGGTGGATGACAGTCGCCCACACCATGAAGATACACACTCACCGCTGTCATCAGCAGTGGTAGGGTGGATGACAGTCGCCCACACCATGAAGATACACACTCACCGCTGTCATCAGCAGTGGTAGTGTGGATGACAGTCGCCCACACCATGAAGATACACACTCACCGCTGTCATCAGCAGTGGTAGTGTGGATGACAGTCGCCCACACCATGAAGATACACACTCACCGCTGTCATCAGCAGTGGTAGGGTGGATGACAGTCGCCCACACCATGAAGATACACACTCACCGCTGTCATCAGCAGTGGTAGGGTGGATGACAGTCGCCCACACCATGAAGATACACACTCACCGCTGTCATCAGCAGTGGTAGGGTGGATGACAGTCGCCCACACCATGAAGATACACACTCACCGCTGTCATCAGCAGTGGTAGTGTGGATGACAGTCGCCCACACCATGAAGATACACACTCACCGCTGTCATCAGCAGTGGTAGGGTGGATGACAGTCGCCCACACCATGAAGATACACAACACCACCGTCATGTGTGACCTAAACAAGTTCATTATATTAGTAATTCAACTGCAAGTTGGATTATGCTGAGGATAATTTGTAAACAATATATATATATATATATATATATATATATATATATATATATATATATATATATATATATATATATATATATATATATATAATATATATATATATATATGCAAAACAACCACTCTGAAAGAATAGAGAAATTCCAAGCGCTTTCGTGACTACTCACATTATCAAGGAACTATGAAAGTGAAGCATCCAAGGAAGCTATATAAGGGGTCTGGCCAAAACCTCACTATCAGATCCCACAACGGTTAAACACGTGACGCGCGGCGACCCAACTTGGATAGGTCCTTTGCACAACTCACCCACAAACTATTCTACCCAAGAAAATTTAAAAATTATTATTTGTCCAGTGTATTATTAAATTCTTCCCAAATTCTATTAATTATAAATTGATCTAATTTATATAAACCAAAGGAAATATTCATATTATTGTCAAAACTGCTTTTTATGAAACAAGATTCAATTATATTCCTGTCGACCATGGACTTGCTTGATACTACTTTCTCAACTTTTTGAAAATCAATTGGATGGTTAAAATCTCTTACATGAATATATATATATATATATATATATATATATATATATATATATATATATTATATATATATATATATATATATATATATATTATATATATATATATATACATACATTTATGCAGGATTAAAAGGCCAATAATAGAAACGACTTTTTCTGAGGAACAATGTCATATCAAGTGGGTTCTACAGTTAGGAACTCAGAAGAAAGCGGTGACTAATGCTTTACAGAAGCTGATGTACAATTATGACCTCGCTCATAAGAGTTTAATGAAAAATACTGTTGACTTTGTCGTCAATTGCCATTTACAAATTAAACTGCCCATTAGAAATTACAATAAAATTAATGCACTAATGTTTGGTTCAATAATTCTCATTTTTTAGTAAACATTGTACATATAAATACTGTAAATTAAACACTAGCGTGGAATTACAAAAAGCAGTGAACCTGGGATTATCAATTCCAGTTTTTTAAACCTGAGGTTCCGAGCTTATAATAAGAAATATTCGAAAACCGAATTTATATTCAAGGTTCCGACAACGGCATCAACTGTGGCCTAAACTGACTTTTTCCCACAGCCACAGCGACCTTCTTAGTAAAATATTCTCATCTCTCTCAAAACCATATAGTCCAATAACTTGATTTAAGACGCAATAAACGACTGTAAACGAAATAAAGTTGGTAGAATTACCGACAATATGTAAAGTAAAAGGACACAAGTGCAACTAATGTGACATTTATTGTGGCAACGTTTCGCTCTCCTGGAGCTTTATCAAGCCTTGATAAAGCTCCTGGAGAGCGAAACGTTGCCACAATAAATGTCACATTAGTTGCACTTGTGTCCTTTTAATTTACATACAGACTGTACATGAATAAACTTAAGATAGATGAGGGATTGAATCATGATCCCTGGATTAACAGGTCCAGAGCTAACCTGGAGCAGTGGATGTGTTCTCCCTGGATTAACAGGTCCAGAGCTAACCTGGAGCAGTGGATGTGTTCTCCCTGGATTAACAGGTCCAGAGCTAACCTGGAGCAGTGGATGTGTTCTCCCTGGATTAACAGGTCCAGAGCTAACCTGGAGCAGTGGATGTGTTCTCCCTGGATTAACAGGTCCAGAGCTAACCTGGAGCAGTGGATGTGTTCTCCCTGGATTAACAGGTCCAGAGCTAACCTGGAGCAGTGGATGTGTTCTCCCTGGATTAACAGGTCCAGAGCTAACCTGGAGCAGTGGATGTGTTCTCCCTGGATTAACAGGTCCAGAGCTAACCTGGAGCAGTGGATGTGTTCTCCCTGGATTAACAGGTAGAGAGCTAACCTGGAGCAGTGGATGTGTTCTCCCTGGATTAACAGGTCCAGAGCTAACCTGGAGCAGTGGATGTGTTCTCCCTGGATTAACAGGTCCAGAGCTAACCTGGAGCAGTGGATGTGTTCTCCCTGGATTAACAGGTCCAGAGCTAACCTGGAGCAGTGGATGTGTTCTCCCTGGATTAACAGGTCCAGAGCTAACCTGGAGCAGTGGATGTGTTCTCCCTGGATTAACAGGTCCAGAGCTAACCTGGAGCAGTGGATGTGTTCTCCCTGGATTAACAGGTCCAGAGCTAACCTGGAGCAGTGGATGTGTTCTCCCTGGATTAACAGGTCCAGAGCTAACCTGGAGCAGTGGATGTGTTCTCCCTGGATTAACAGGTCCAGAGCTAACCTGGAGCAGTGGATGTGTTCTCCCTGGATTAACAGGTCCAGAGCTAACCTGGAGCAGTGGATGTGTTCTCCCTGGATTAACAGGTCCAGAGCTAACCTGGAGCAGTGGATGTGTTCTCCCTGGATTAACAGGTCCAGAGCTAACCTGGAGCAGTGGATGTGTTCTCCCTGGATTAACAGGTCCAGAGCTAACCTGGAGCAGTGGATGTGTTCTCCCTGGATTAACAGGTCCAGAGCTAACCTGGAGCAGTGGATGTGTTCTCCCTGGATTAACAGGTCCAGAGCTAACCTGGAGCAGTGGATGTGTTCTCCCTGGATTAACAGGTCCAGAGCTAACCTGGAGCAGTGGATGTGTTCTCCCTGGATTAACAGGTCCAGAGCTAACCTGGAGCAGTGGATGTGTTCTTATCTAATGTTTCATCTGACAGTTAATTACAAAGTTGTTATTAGCATGTTTAGTCCAGTCATTGTTTTCACTTAGACTGTCTAACGTGTTTGAATTTTTGTTTTAGCTCATAACAAACTCTTCTAAGTTTGTTGTTTGTAATGAGCTGAAAAACAAACTAAAAGGCAAGTAGACAATCTTATTGAAAGCAATGTAATTGAAAACAGTGATTGTATTATACATGGTAAAAACAACGTAGTAATTAACATGTCAGATAAGACATTGGATCAGAACATAACCGCTGCTCCAGGTTATCGCTGGATCTGATATTCACAATATCAAGATTTAATCTCCCCGTCCATCTTTAGGTTTATTCATTTCCAGTCGTTTATTAACATTAACACTCTACGTCAGGAGTGTAAGAGTCTTACACTCAGACATACTGACAGAAATACACTCTCATATAACACACTCACACATAGGAGAATACACAGACACAAACACAAATGCACAAACACTATTGACAAGTGCCTTTAACATCCAGTAACAAGCTCAACAGACCAAGTGATGTTTAATGACATTATTGTAACTAAGAAATTAAGTAATTTAATATTTAACTTTCCTTTGTTATTTTATATCCATTGTGCAATAAGCATTCCCTTATATATATTAAACATATTCATTATAATTTTGCAAATAAAAAACATAGGAAAACAATCGGTATCAGCCAAAATTTGGGTATCGTCTCACCGCCCCATCCATAATAGAGAAAGAGAGGAAGAAAATTCACTGCTCTACAGTACAATCCTCTCTGATTTACAAACTTTCACATCAGTTCGATACCTGATTTGTTAGTCAACCTTACCTGTTCATGGTGAAGATTAGTTTTCAAGCTGGAGAAGTGTGTAGGTGTATGGTTGACGACTCTTGCGTTACTGTTCACTCTGATGGTACACCAGTATATATACACTCGCAGCGTCACTCTTACCATAAATCTCCACTTGGCAGTTTCCTACCACGCCATGTTTACATGGCTGAATTAATTTTGTTTGCTTAACAATATTTTATTACATGTAAACTACATTTTGTGAACTGCAGAAATAAAGTTTGTTTGTTTGATTAGAAGCCGAGGTTATAATTGTGTGGGAAGGAAGGAGATATCAGAGTGTGGGAAGGAAGGAGGTGTTATCACAGTCAGGTGAAGACCAGCTAGAATCTTGGTGCTGTTGTTCTGATCAACATAATGTATTTCTGAGTGACTCAAACATGTTTTCTCTTATCAATATGATGACTCTTAAAACACAGTAATTCATCTTCCTTCTTACAATTGACTGACTGAATACTTTAAAACAACAACAGTTGTTAGTTTTACTACTACTATTGCTGTTACCATGCCATGACAAACATGGCAACGGGGATGACGCTTAATTAATAGAGAAGTCGATGCTTTTGAGGGTGGGGGATGGTGTGGGTGGGATTTTCGGGCAGGGTGAAAGTTAGCCCCTGGTAAGTCGACTTAAGGTGTGTGGGGCTGTTCACATGGGAAATCTCCTGGAGGCGTGGGAGGTGAATTCGAAAGAAGCTGTGGATAGGGTTTTGGGTTGATTGACGGGATTGCCTACTGGGGGGTTGACGATACACCAGCGGGCGATTGTGGTGAATGTCGTATTGTACGGTAAGCTGTGGCATGTGGTGAGTATATATCCTTTGGAAACATGTGATGAGAAGCGGTTGTTAAAGCACGTATTCCGATACATTTGTGGTTCGGGGTTTGACTGGTTGTCGAGAGATGTGTCTTCCGATATGCCAAGGAGGGCTGGGGTTAATGGAGCTGCATTACAGGTTGTCGGGTATGTACATTAAACACAGTTATTTGAGGGAGGGTAGGGTCGCAGGTACAGGTTTGGCATGGGTGAGAAGGGATTTGGGATGTTGGGTGTGGGGTAGGGATGTGCAAGTGTGTGAGGGAATGTTGAGGCTATCGTGTTTTGCTAGAGAACCAAGTGGGGTCAAGATAGGTAAACTGGCTTGGGTGGGTGGTGGGGAGGTGGTTGCTAGGGTTGTGGGTATGTATCCTATGTATGCATGGAGTGATATATGGGGCGCCTGAAGGGGTTACAATTGCAGGTTGTGGTGCGGGAGGTAATGTTTAAATTTCTCCATAATATATTGCCGTCGGGGGAGGTGCTAGGTGTGCAGGAGGGAAAGGAGTGTTGTGTGTGGGGGGATATTGACACCGGGTATCATGCGGTATATTTTTATGCAAGGTTGGAACTAGTAAGAGAGTGGTTTAGCAGGGTTTTACATATGGTGGGTGGGGGTGGAATTAGTGTTTTACTGGCATTAAGCTTAGATGCGGGGGGATGGGAGTGCCAGTGCAGAATGTGATGGGCTGTCTGGTTGCCGACTTCGTGTATACTTCGTGGGTATTACGTAGAGCACTGATGAGGGAGCGCATTAAGGCCCTGGCAGCGATATTTTATGGAACACAAAGGAGGAGTAAGGAAATCATCGGGTACAGATGCTATTTCAATTTTTCGGAGAGATATCGTAGCATTAGAGTCGAGGACTTATGGGCATTATGGTTTTAAGGGGATATAACGAAGCTGGCTTCTTGAGGATTGTGTGGGCGTGAATGGTGCATTTGGTGGACAAAGATGTGATGCGAGGTGTGTGGGGTCAGTGAGTGTATTGGTGACCAAGAACTTTTCATGTCATGTGTTATGTAAGGTTGTGAGTGACCCAGGTTGTGGGTGTGACCCAGGTTGTGGGTGTGACCCAGGTTGTGGGTGTGACCCAGGTTGTGGGTGTGACCCAGGTTGTGGGTAAGTGTATGATTCTTTTTACTATAATATGGGGATGTGCTAAACCTGGTGGTCTGTGCAGCACAGAGGGAGAGGTGAGGCATCAAGACTACATTCAGAACATGGGTATGAGTACAGTGGAGCTTTATCTTTCAACATGTATGCTTTCTTGTACTTTATGTGAGAGTGAACCTCTTGTGTGAAATATGATTGTGCAGGTTCATATTGTGCCTAATGTATTATCTTTGGCAATTGTACTTCCTCTGTTTTGCAGAGATGTAGTTATGTATGAAGCGTGTTTAAGAATGTTTCTATATTCAAATATGTTAATTAATGTTATAGTTTTGGTTGTGATGGTTGCTGATGGTAGATACAGCTGTAGGGAATAAGGGGGGGGGGTTGTAGTGTACGCTGTATTCTTATAGTAATGATTTGTACAGGGATGTTGCATCCAGATTGTTATAATGTTTCATTTCTAGGCTTCCATAAGCTTCTGTTTTAGTCTGCGTCTCTGTGAAACACATGTTAAATATGTTTCCTTGTGTTATGATTTAAGTTATGAGTGTTGTTTTCATTTATATATTGTTATTATGTGTTAGAACCTCTATATTGTGATGTAACATTATGTGTTAGAACCTCTATATTGTGATGTAACATTATGTGTTAGAACCTCTATATTGAGATGTAACATTATGTGTTAGAACCTCTATATTGTGAAGTAACATTATGTGTTAGAACCTCTATATTGTGATGTAACATTATGAGTTAGAACCTCTATATTGTGATGTAACATTATGAGTTAGAACCTCTATATTGTTATCCAACATTATGTGTTAGAACCTCTATATTGTGATGTAACATTATGTGTTAGAACCTCTATATTGTGATCCAACATTATGTGTTAGAACCTCTATATTGTGATGTAACATTATGTGTTAGAACCTCTATATTGTGATGTAACATTATGTGTTAGAACCTCTATATTGTTATGTAACATTATGTGTTAGAACCTCTATATTGTGATGTAACATTATGTGTTAGAACCTCTATATTGTGATGTAACATTATGTGTTAGAACCTCTATATTGTGATGTAACATTATGTGTTAGAACCTCTATATTGTGATGTAACATTATGTGTTAGAACCTCTATATTGTGATGTAACATTATGTGTTAGAACCTCTATATTGTGATGTAACATTATGTGTTAGAACCTCTATATTGTGATGTAACATTATGTGTTAGAACCTCTATATTGTGAAGTAACATTATGTGTTAGAACCTCTATATTGTGATGTAACATTATGTGTTAGAACCTCTATATTGTGAAGTAACATTATGTGTTAGAACCTCTATATTGTGAAGTAACATTATTGGTTTTCTTGGATGTTTAGTAATGTGGGTTTTTTTCTCATATATAGAGAGGAGAACTGTGTATATGTTATACACATGTTGACACGGTTTTATTTTGGTAGTATTGTACTTCATGGTTTTTGTATATTCAGTTTTTATATAAAATGTATATATATAAAAACTACTGTTGCTCCTCCTCCCCCTCCTTCTCCCCCTCCTCCTGCCGCCGCCGCTGCCACCGCCGCTGCCACCGCCACTGCCACCGCCGCTGCCACCGCCGCTGCCACCGCCGCTGCCACCGCCGCTGCCACCGCCGCTGCCAACGCCGCTGCCACCGCCGCTGCCACCGCCGCTGCCACCGCCACTGCCACCGCCGCTGCCACCGCCGCTGCCACCGCCGCTGCCACCGCCGCTGCCACCGCCGCTGCCACCGCCGCTGCCACCGCCGCTGCCGCCGCCGCTGCCACTATAACTAATAATAATAATAATTTTAATAAAAATAATAATAGTAATAATAAATATAATAATAACAATAATAATAATACAAGAGTAAATTTTTTATAGACAAAATTGTGAATGTAACATAAAGAAGTGAGATATAAGTAATGTTAAGTTACTTATGATCAAACTGACTTATAATTGTGAATGTAACATAAAGAAGTGAGATATAAGTAATGTTAAGTTACTTATGATCAAACTGACTTATAATTGTGAATGTAACATAAAGAAGTGAGATATAAGTAATGTTAAGTTACTTATGATCAAACTGACTTATAATTGTGAATGTAACATAAAGAAGTGAGATATAAGTAATGTTAAGTTACTTATGATCAAACTGACTTATAATTGTGAATGTAACATAAAGAAGTGAGATATAAGTAATGTTAAGTTACTTATGATCAAACTGACTTATAATTGTGAATGTAACATAAAGAAGTGAGATATAAGTAATGTCAAGTTACTTATGATCAAACTGACTTATAATTGTGAATGTAACATAAAGAAGTGAGATATAAGTAATGTTAAGTTACTTATGATCAAACTGACTTATAATTGTGAATGTAACATAAAGAAGTGAGATATAAGTAAT